ACATTATGATCAGCACGAAGCCAGTCACCAAACTGTACTGCCGTTTCTGGGAAATGTCCAGAAAAGGCAAATCCACAGACAGGAAGTAGATTAGCAGTTGGGGGGGGGGGGGCGAGGGGGGGGCGGCTGACTGTGCTAAGGGATATGGGTCTGTTTTCCGGGTGATGACAATGTCCTGAAATTGTGAATATTCTAAAGCCACTGAGCTGTACACATTAAATGTGCCGTTTAAATGGGTGAATCACATGGTAATTTATACCTTCGTAAGTTATTACAAACACTCAAGGTGAATATAGATGTCAAAGAAATGCACATCTGAAACCTAAAATACAGTTTTGGCCTCTTAGCTTGGCCAAGATTAAAAAGACAAACAGCTCCCCAGATTGGTGCTGGATGAGGGGGAGGGGTACCCCTGGGTGGAGGGCAGTGGCCCCCTCTAGACATGTCCAGGACCCCCGGACCCTCGCCGGCCACACCCCGCACTGAGAGGTGCAGTGGCCATGGCGGCCCAGTGTCTGGGCTCTGAGATGACCACAGTGTCTCCACGAGGGCCAAAGTGGGTGAGCGACCTCACCAGGACACCCTCCTTCTCTCCCACGATCCGTGGGCTGGGACACACGTGTTCCTTCCGGCTGGGAGGTGGACAGGGCAGGTGGGCAGGGCGGGCACAGGTGGGCACGTGGCCCTATCCCAGGACCACAGTCAGGCACCTCTTCCCAGTCCTCCATCCAGAGCTGTGACTTCTATTTTTCCGTAACTAAGTACCTAGTTTCCTTTGGTGTACATTTAAAAACATTTAAGTATAGTTGGTACCCCCTTATATTGGTTATATTAATTCCAGATGGATGGTATGGTGATTTAGCATTTTGATACAGTTGATCACCCACTAATTCTAGTGATCACGTCACTGTGCCATCTTATCACAGTATGATTGACTATAGTCCCCTCCCTCTTCCTTCCCCCCTTCTTTCTGTTTCTGCTTGGTTTTTAGATCCCACATGTAAGTTTTCACATGGTGTTTGTCTTTCTGACTTATTCCATTTAGCATATTGCCCTCTAGATCCATCCATGTTGTTGCCAATGGCAAGATTTCAATCTTTTTTATTGCTATAAAATATTCCATTGTATATACATTCCACCTCCTCTTATCCATTCACCTATCGATGACAACCTAGGTTGCTTCAACAACTTGGCCGTCATAAATGATGCTGCAGTGAGCACAGAGGTGCAGATAGCCTTTTGAATCAGTGTTTTCATTTTCTTTAGATAAATACTCAGAAGAATTGCTGAGTGGGTTGTATGGTATATCCATTTTTAGTTTTTGAGGAATATCCTGTTTTCCATAGTGGCTTCACCAATTTACCATCCCACCAACAATACACAGCGGTTCCTTTTCTCACATCCTCGCCTGCACTGGTTTGCTTTGTTGACGGAGCCACCCTGCATGTCTCATTGTGCTTTTGATTTGCATCTCCGATTACCATGGCTGCTGCCTCTGCATGTCCTCTTTAGAGAGGTGTCTATTCAGGTCCTTTGCCCATTTGTCAGAGTGTTTATTGTTACTGAGTTGTACAAGTTTCTTGTATATTTTGAATATTATCCCCTCATCAAATGTATCATTTGCAAATGTATTTTCCCATTCAATGGTTGCCTTTTGGTTTGGTTGAAGGTTTTTAGCTGCAAGCACCTTCTTTCTTCTTCCCAGCCCCACGTGGCCCTCCGGGGTGGCCGGGGGAGGGAGGTCAGCAGGTGAGAGCAGGGGAGTGTGGCCGTCAGCCAGGCCCGCACCAGCCCTGGTGAGGACAAGAGGCAGGGATGAATCCTGCACAACTGGCACTTGGTCAGAAAAGTAAGAAGCTTGAGGGAGGAACACAGAGTGGCAGGAGGTGTGGTGAACAGGCCTGGAGACACGGGGGTGGGGGGTGGGGGGGTTACAAAATGTTGGCGAAAGCCCTTCCCTGACCACCTGCTGTGCCACGCTCACCTGGTCCCAGGTGGTGGCTGTCCTGCCCCTCTCCCGACTCCTCCAACCTCTGCTGAGCCGGTGCCAGCTGACCGCCCGCCCTGAACCCCCCAGTCCATGGCACCTAAGTCACAAATGGCAGCAGAGGCAGGAGCCCAGCAGCTGATGGGAGCTGAGCTGGCCAGCGAGGACCGCTGTCCTTAGAAAGGGCCGGAGTGTGAGGCGTGGGGAGAGGGCCGGCGCACGCACGGGGTGGCTGCAGGCGGTGCCCACCCACGGAGTCCCTCCCCTTGCCCCTCGGGAGCTGGGGCGGGGCCTCTCAGAGGTGTGGGGGGGGCACTATAGGGTGGCCCCCCTCTCTGCACTTCCATAGAGGCGGCACCTGCTCCTCTGAGAGTGAGCTGTGGGAACCAGTCTTCCCAGAAAAAGGAAAGGACTGCGAGGAGGGGGAGGGCGGGGAGCCTCAACCAGGGCCACCCATGGGGCACCTCCTGGCACCTCCCCTCAGTGACCAGCCCTGTGGGTCACTGAGCGGTGGAGAGGAGACATGCCCATCAGGGCGCCTGCCTGGCCATGGGGTCAGCACCAAGCCCGCCTGTTAGTCTTTTACCTGGAACCCGGGGCCAGACCCCTGGGACTTCCTGCACCCCTGGAGCCCACAGTCCCAGACCTGCCCTGGCCGCTGGGCACCAGTCACCCAGGAGCCAGCTTTCCCGCTGGCCCCGTGGGAGGGAGGCCTGGCCGCCCCAGGGCCCGCCCCGCCTCGTGCTGCCAGGAGAGCCGGTCCTCCCTGAGTGTCTGAGTGTCCCCGGGAGAGGAGCCCTCAGGAGGGGCTCCGGTGGAGAGTGAGCCGGGCACACACCGGGGCTCTGTGGAGAGCGGGCGCCAGGCCCAACTGTGCCCGGAGACCACCCCCTCAGCCACTCCTCACCTCCGGGGAGAGCGCCCCCACCTCCGGGGAGAGCACCCCCACCTCCGGGGGCAGGAACGCCACCTCCGGGGAGAGCGCTCCCACCTCCGGGGGCAGGAACCCCCACCTCTGGGGAGAGCGCCCCCACCTCCGGGGGCAGGAACCCCCACCTCCGGCAGGAACCCCCATCTCCGGGGGCAGGAACTCCACCTCCAGGGGCAGGAACCCCACCTCCAGGGAGAGCGCCCCCACCTCCGGGGGCAGGAACCCCACCTCCGGGGAGAGCGCCCCCACCCACCTCCGGGGAGAGCGCCCGGCTCTGGACTCCCAATGCTCCCCCTGAGCGGAGTCTGAGGGCAGGGCTGTGGGAGAGAAGCCAAGGGGAGCCCAGAGCTCCCTCACCTCCCTCACCTGCAGCTGCCTCCTTTCCGGGCTCGCCCCCAAGGGCCCTCCCCCCACAGCCCTCCCCTGATGGCCCTCCCCCCGCCACGGCCCTCCCTTCCCCCTCAGCCTCTCCCGACGCCCCCCCCCCCAGGGCCCTCCAGGAGCCGGTGAGGGGACCTCCCTGCTGCTGGAACCCTGTGTTCCTCCTCCCGGGCCCACTCGGGACAGCGTGGCCCGCAGGGAGTGCCCGGGCCTGCGGGCAGTGGAGGGTGGTCTGTACCAGGCTGACACCAGTCAGCCAGGCCGCACACTGACAGCCCTGCTCTGTGCTCCGGCCCGCGAGGGACGGACCCAGACCCAGGACACCGGACCATCCGGCTGCACGTCCAGGAAGAGCTTGCAGATGGCGGGAAACACGCGCCCGTTGCTGTGTTAGCATGCCACCAGCTCCAAGGCCCTCCTCCGCAGCCCGTGGGGAAAGTGCCCGTTTCACAGCGCAGGGGACCGGGCACCGGATGGGCGGGGGACAGTGCCCACCACTTAGCACCCGGGACCTGAGGTACCCCAGATAAAGGGGGGCTCCACCGCCAATCTCAGGGGAGGGTCATGGGGCGGGACCCAGGCTTCCTTGGGCAGGAGGCTGCACGGCAGCAGCCAGAGGGCAGGACGGCCGGTGTCTCTGCCCCAGGAGCATCCTCTGCAAACAGCCTTCTGGGCGCAACCCCCGAAGGCCGCCCTGTGCTGCTGCCCTTGTCCACACCCCTCCCGCCTCAGCACGCACCGTGCTCCCCCGGGCAGGACTGGGCATCACCGCCCTGGGGTCAGACAAACAAAATACCCCACCAGGCAGGGCAGGTCTGAGTTCCTGTTGGTGACCTAACTCCCTGGGCCTCCGCGTCCCCATCTGAGAGGAACCCGCCCGCCTCCTGGCGGCAGGTGCCATTGTCTAGGTGGGGCCAGCCTCCACCTGGCCCGGGCCTGCCCGCATGGTGCCGCCCTCCGTCCACTGTGAGCCTGGAAGCGAGGCGCAGGCCCGGGCCTGACCTGATCCTGAGGTGCGCTCATGGCCAAAGCCGGCCTCGGGGCCTCAGGGGCGTTCCTCCCCAGGTCCGGGCACGGAGGTGGACCCTCTTCAGGGCATTCTCCAAACCAAACACACGCCAAAGGCCACCGCGGTCCGTCAGGGACCCGAGCAGCCCGGCCGCGGCCGTGGGACCTCCCAGGCTCCGGTCCCAGGGAAGGGGGCTGGGGCTGGACAGGAACCAGGCGCCTCCCCGCAAGGCGAGTGAGGCCGGTCCCATCTCCTCACATTGCTGACTCCCCGGCCCGAGGCGGCGCCCACCTGGGCACCGAGGAGACTGGCCTCACCGGGTTTCACGCAGCCCGCAGCCAGCCCTCGCCCCGGACGCCCGCCGGATGGATGGAGAGGGCTGGGGAGGTGCGCTCTCAGCTAGTCTCCCTCTCTGTGCCCACCCACTCTAAGCTGCGCCCCTCGGCAGCGCCCCCTCGGCAGCGGCCCCTTGGCAGCGCCCCCTCAGCAGCGTCCCCCTCGGCAGCGCCCCCTCGGCAGCGGCCCCTCGGCAGCGCCCCCTCAGCAGCGTCCCCCTCGGCAGCGCCCCCTCGGCAGAGCCCCGCCAGCGGTGCGGAGTCTTCCCGGCGGCAGAGCCACCCCCCTCCCGGTGTCCGGGGGGCCCGTCTGGGGAGATGGCGCGGAGAGCGGACGGCGCCCGGTCCTGGCCTCACCTGTCCGGTTCCCGGGGGCGGTGGTGGCGTCCCCCGAATGGCCCCCCGGCCTCGCCCGGCCACGGAGGGTCGCGGACACCGGACACATCCCTGCGCGCTCCCCACGGTCCGCCCGCCCGACGGCCGCAGCAGCCTCCAGCACCAACCCCGAGCACCGGCCCCGCCCTGGCGCCCCCCCTCCCCGCGGGCACCGCCCCCTCAGCCCCGCCTCCCCGTGGGCACCGCCCCCAGCCCCTCCTCTCCGCGGGGACCGCCCCCCCAGCCCCTCCTCCCCGTGGGCACCGCCCCCCAACCCCTGCTCCCCCTGGGGACCACCCCCCAGCCCCTCTTCCCCGCGGGGGCCACCCCCCAGCATCGCCCCCAGCCCCTCCTCTCCGCGGGGACCGGCCCCCCAGCACCGCCCCCCAGCCCCTCCTCCCCATGGGCACCGCCCCCCAACCCCTGCTCCCCGCGGGGACCACCCCCCCAGCCCCTCCTCCCCGCGGGGACCACCTCTCGGAGCCCCCCCTCCCGCGGGGACCGCCCCCCAGCCCCTCTTCCCCGTGGGCACCGGGCCGCCCCGGAGCCCAGCGCGGCTGCGCCCAGAGCAACCGTCTCCTCGGCGGCAGGCTGGCTTCTGCCCGCCTCCCCGGTGGGTCCGGCCACCCTCGAGGCGGTGGGTGCGGCCTCGCTCGGCACCGGGCGTGGGCGTGGGCAGGACCAGGCCTTGGGGTCTGGCCAGCCCGCCAGGTGCGCACCCGCGGTCAGCCCGCCGCCGCCCCGACTCCGCCCCCGGCGGGCCCAGGGCACCGCGGAGGGCACCGCGGAGGGCACTGCGGAGGGCGCGGGAGACCTGCGGGCGGAGTGACCGGGCGGTCTTGGCGCCTAACAAGGCCCGACGTGTGAGCGCGCTGGCAGCCGGAGGCACAGGCGGTGCGGGAGGCGCCGGGCGGCGGGCTCAGGAGGTGCGGGAGGTGCCGGGTGGCGGGCTCAGGAGGTGCGGGAGGTGCCGGGCGGCGGGCTCAGGAGGTGCGGGAGGCACCCGGGCGGCGGGCACAGGAGGTACGGGAGGTGCCGGGCGGCGGGCTCAGGAGGTGCGGGAGGCGCTTGGCGGCGGGCTCAGGAGGTGCGGGAGGCACCCGGGCGGCGGGCACAGGAGGTGCCGGAGGCGTCTGGGCGGCGGGCACAGCGGTGCGGGGGCACCTGCTCGCTGAGTCAGGGCGCTGAGGCCGGAGGACAGCCTCAGCCGGTGGTTCAGACCGCGGAGCCCCCTGAGGACGCTCTGCAGTCCCTCTGTGCACCAGCTCCTCTGCCACCTCGGGAAGCCAGGGCGTCTGCGGCCCCAGCGACCTCAAACCCCACCCCGCCCCGCCCAGACCACACCCGGGGGCCTGAACCCAGAATTCCCTGCTGAGTGGCCGGACCGGGCACAGGGCTGCGCGGCGGGCGCTGCCTTAGGCCGGCCAGGCTGGGGGCCGGTGACCCCGAATTGCAGGCTGGAGCTGTGGGGCTGCCGCAGCGCCTCGCTGGCCCAGGCCCCCAGGAGCCCACTGCCGACCCAGCCTGGCCTGGAGGGGCTGCTCCCGGGCCTGGGCACCAGGATGCACTGCTGGAGGCTGGAGGCCGGAAGTCTGAGCTAAGGTGCCGGCAGCCGCGCCCACCGGGCCGTGCCCGGAAGGGTCGGTCCCAGGCCCTTCAGCCCCCGGTGGCCCCACAGGGCTGCCGGCCCACGGAGTCTGTCCGAACGCCCCCCGCGGGCACAGCGCTGTCGGTCCGGCCCAGTCACTCGCCCTGGCGGCCTGCACCTGCCTCCGGAAGGGGCGTGCCCGGGGGAGGGGTTCAGTCCATACAGACGCGTCTGGGCCCTCCGTGGCTCCTATACACGTTCTGTTGTTCAAGCGTGTGGCCAGCTTCCGTCTGTGCCGGCTGGGGCTGGGTGGCCCGAGGCCCCTGCTGTGCCAAGGAAGCCACGCGTGGTGCCACACCGGGCCCCGCACGGAGGCACTGGCTGCCCCGGGCACCTTTCCCGGGCCTTCGGGTGCCTGAGGCCAGGCGCTAGCCGGGCACAGAGCCAGCCACACTCCCCACCTGGCGGGCCTCGTCTGCAGGAGAGGAGGCTGTCCCCTCCTGAGGCCAGGGAGCGGTGACCCGCTCCTACATGGCGCTAGCGCTTGGGCACCTGCCGCTGCTCCTGGCTCTGCTACCTCCCAGGCTCTCTGCTTCCCAGCCCAGCCCCGGGCGGCCTGGGCGGGGCCTGGGCGGGGAGGGGCGGGGCGGGGCGGGGCCTGGGCGGAGCTGGTGGGGGTCTCCCGGCCCTCAGGCTCAGCCACCTCCTCAGGGAGCCTTCCCGGATGCCTGCCTAGCACAGGCCTTCTCTGACCTTAAAGCCTGTGCCATGTCTGCGAGTCGGAGAGAACATCGGGTTTCCTTGGTGGAGACAACGGGTGGGCAGCTGGCCAGAAGGCAAGGAGAGCCCAGCACTGATGCTGAGGAACTGACAATAGCCTTGACCTCTCTGCTCCCACCCCACTGCTTACTCCCCGTCTAGGTTTGCATCAGGGAGCACACAGTCTGGGGTAAGGAACCAAGGAGGCTGGTGCAGGGGGAGGAGTCTGAAAGCCCTGGCCTCAGTGTTTTGCTCTGTAAAATGGGCTTCCACATGCTGCCAGAGATATTGGGGGGGGGGTGTGCTAGGGTCTAGTCTGGTGGTCTTTTCTTCACACCAGTTTAGCTGAGGCTGCTGCCTCAGCCCCCAGCCCTGGCACATCACCCAGAGCACTGGTGGCCTGAGGGAGCTGGGCATCAGCCTGGTAGGGGAGGTGGTTATTGGTGTGTTTTCCTCAAATTCAATAATACCTAGAATTGGCCGAAACCGGTTTGGCTCAATGGATAGAGCGTCGGCCTGCGGATTGAAAGGTCCCGGGTTTGATTCCGGTCAAGGGCATGTACCTTGGTTGCGGGCATATCCCCAGTAGGGGGTGTGCAAGAGGCAGTTGATCGATGACTTTCTCTCATCGATGTTTCTAACTCTCTATCTCTCTCCCTTCCTCTCTGTACAAAATCAATAAAATATATTTAAAAAAATACCTAGAATTGTAAAAAGCCTCTTGTTTTTCTCTAAATAAATATTCTTCATTTTTACTTCAACTCCAAGTCCAAGGAGTTCCATTGCAAGTTAAGAGTCACACAGCAGGTTGCCTCCTGGGCTTTGCCTCTTCTTCTTTTAAGCTTTTAAAATTAAAAGCATTTTAAAAATAAAAGTAACCCGAGCTTGTAGCTGCAAAGAGCTAGGTATTTTGGGAGAAAAGAATTTCCCCCAGAGCATCAGCCTGTGGACTGAGGGGTCCCAGGTTTGATTCCAGTTAAGGTTCAGGCTCAGTCCCCAGGAGAGGGTGTGCAGGAGGCAGCCGATCAATAATTCTCTCTCATCATTGATGTCTCTGTCCCCCTCTCCCTTCCTCTCTGAAGTCAGTTAAAAATTAAAATTAAAAATAGAAACCTCTTCTCCCTCCTCCTCTCCCCTGCCCGCGACGTTTTCTGCCAGGCTGCTTGCCACCCTCCACACACAGGCCCTAGCGTCCCACAGCAAGAGCCGCTGCCCTTTCCTGGAGCCCACTCACCACCCTGGTCTGAACCCTGGCCTTCAGATGCCAGCGAGCCTCTGGCCACCGGTGCAGTGACTGCTTGTGGCATGCGGCCTGTGCGTGAGCCTCCGAGCTGGGACGGGCCCCTGGTCTCCCGGTCACACTTGGGGGTGGTGTCCAGTTCCCGGGGGCGGTGGTGGCGTCCCCCGAATGGCCAGACCGGGGTGATGCCGTGCTGCCGCCTGACTTCTTGTCTGTGAGCTGGGCCTGCTGTCTGAGCAGAAAGCAGGAAGTAACACCGGCTAAGGCGGTGCGGTGTCCACACGGACAGGACAGTTCTGAATGCCATCCCCAGGACACACGTGGTGGACGCCTCCCTCAGAGTAGGAGCCCGAGGCAGAGAGCGGACAGTCCTGGCAGAGGCACGTGCGTGCTGGGAGCCTGGCACCGGCTGGGCTGAGGGCTCCCTTGTAATGAGAGGGCCCGGTCGCTGGGGGCAGGGCGGGTGCCCACAGCTCCTCTGCTGGGGAAGCAGCAGGAAGCAGTGCCTGCTGGCCAGGCATCCGGAGGCTTAGGGAGCCCGCCCAGAGCATGCCCAAGGGCGGAGGGCACTTGACACCACCCCCAAGTATGCTCTCCAACTCCCCCCCCTCCGTGCTCTCTGCTGGCCTCCCCCTGCTCAGCACAGACCCCGTGCCCCTGGCCCTCCGTCCTGCACCGCAGCTACACTCTCCTGATGACCGGGAGCCCAGGGAGCGTCCTCCCACACCGGAGGTGGCTCAGGCCTGCCTCCCAGGGGCCGCCTCGGGCGGGGGTGATGGCCGCTGGCAGCTTCAGTTCTGAGGGAGGCCTGTGCCGATGGTCCCCGGTCCCCGAGCAGAGGGCCAGGGCCATGCGCCTCTGAGCCCTCCAGGAGCGGCGACAGAGAGCCCCTGGCAAGGCCGCAGCCCCGCTCAGCCTCCTGGTCCCCAGGAGCCTGGGGAGGCTCTCCCAGCTGGATGGCGCCCTCTCCTACGGGGAAGGAGTTTGGGCCTCCTTACCACAGCCGCTGGCTTCTGGGAACAAACATCCAAGAGACAGAAGGCGGAGGGGAAGCTGCCACAGCTCCAGGCTGTGCCCGTGCTCACTTCTGTGTCTCTGTTCTCCACCCACCCTCCTCCTGGCACCTGAGACCCCACAGCGGGCCCCCCAGACCAGTGCTGGGAGCCCCTGTGGCTGCGGCCGCTCCCTCTCCTGGGGCAGAGGGCGGACACTGGGCCGCGGGGCTCTTGTTAAAGAGAACCACCCCAGATCAGACAAGGTCACCACCACCCATCACCTGTGGGCACAGGGCAGGTGATGACAGACAAGCGAGCCCAGAGCCTCCTTGGCCTGGGAATCTGAGTGGCTGCTCTTCCTTGCCAGCTGCAGCCTCCCCCCTGCTGCTCCACCTCCTCTGTCCATCCTCTCCTCACCAGGCCCCGCTCCTCCTCCACCTCCTCTGTGCGTCCTCTCCTCACCAGGCCCCACTCCTCCTCCTCCTCCT